TTTATTTATTTATTCGAGAGAGGGAGAGAGAGAGATAGCTAGAGAGAGCATGAATAAGGGGGGAGAGGAAAAGCAGGCTCCCCACTGAGCAGGGAGCCCGACCTGGGTTTCAATCCCAGGACTCTGAGATCATGACCCTAGCTGAAAGCAGATGTTTAACCAACTGAGACACCCAGGTGCCCCAACCTAATTCCTTTTTAGGTAGACTTTCAAACAATCTTCCCAGTTTGAACCCCACTTTCTGTAACCACAGATATCTGGTGCCAAGTCCTGAGGTTTTTGGAAGTTCTGTAGTAGAATTAGGTTCTCCTTGGCTTTCCCCACTGCTAGCTTAGCAAACAGCTTTCTCAGATCTGCGAGATTCATTATTATCATGCTGTAGCCTCTTGAATCCTCTTTGTCCTTGTGGACTTATCCCTTTATTGTAATTTTAGTAGTATGGGGAGGAAGTAAGAATGAATGAATGTTCATTCAGACCACTGAATTATGACTTTAAAAGGGCGAACTTTATGGTAGGTGAATTATATCTCAATAAGATAAAATTTTAAAGGAAACGAATGTGGGTAATGTGCCATCTTTATCCCAATGCGTACCTCCTAATTTTAGAGGTGTGACTAGTGAGCCCGAGGAGCCCAGAATGGTGATGGTTTTAAGTGATTACTTTTAAGTGAGGGTTCAGCTAAATCCACTCAGGTGTTCTGAGTCGTATCTGGCCTTGCAGAGTTGTGTTTTTGGTGACTGTGACACAGACTTCGGTTCCTCAGCCCTGACCTTGAGCACTTGCCATTCTAGCCTACACCATTTCTAGAAGAAGGGCACTGGTGCTCTAGAAAACTAACCACGCTTGCGGGGATGAAATGAACCGCAAGTCATTGAGTCAGACGCCAGCTGAAAAGTGCACAAATGTTAGTCACTTTGTTATTGAATCCAGATGTAATGACACAGTTTATACCCTACAATAGTCCAAAGGATAGATGAAAATATTTGAGAACAGTGATGGTGGAGAGTCTAGGGCAAAAAGGACTGTGGCTCCCCCTGTGCTTCCCTCCCCACCCAGCTCCCATGATGTAATTTGATAAACACACAAAATTCAAAATGGCTTAAAAAAACAATACAAGGGGGGCGCCTGGGTGGCTCAGTGGATTAAAGCCTCTGCCTTCGGCTCAGGTCATGATCCCAGGGTCCTGGGATCGAGCCCCACATCGGGCTCTCTGCTCGGCAGGGAGCTTGCTTCCTCCTCTCTTTCTCTCTCTGCCTGCCTCTCTGCCTACTTGTGATCTCTATCTGTCAAATAAAATAAAAATCTAAAAAAAAAAAAAAATACAAGGAAGATTAAGTGGTTTATGGCTTTTCTTAACATAGCCCAGATCAATAAAGTGAGATCACTTTCTGTTAACATTCAGGGATTTACACGTCTATCTTCCATTAGTACGAAGTGCTCTTTCCTGCCAATACCCATTTTTACATGTTTTAAAAGATCTTTATTTCACACTCACAGTCAGTCTTTTACATGGCTGAGAATACAAGATGGTCACGATATTTTGGTAGGCAATTAAGTCTTAATTACCAGACTTCAAATCAGTATTTCTCCAAAACCTGTTTTTGATTACTTGGGCTTCTGAACTCTCCCCAAGTATATGTATCTAGTTTATTTGCATGGTTCAAGCATTGAGAATCTGTTTTTCTGTTGGAATATGATCACTTTTTCAAAGTTGTGGGGCCATATGCCTTTAGTTATTTGACTAATCAGGGAGCCAGAACTGCCTTTAGGAACACTTTGGATTGAGAGAGTTGGCAAATAAAACAGGCCTCCATGAAGAATTTCAGATAAATAATGAATAATTTCTTTTAGTATAAGCACGTTTCAAGTATTATAGGGGATATTCTTATACTAAAATTTTTTTTGTTGTTTATCTGAAATTCACATTGAACTGGGTGTCCCATCTCTTACCTGGAAACCCTAGACCCAAGCTACTGGGGACTCCCTTGCTGGGGACCCAGGCTGTAGAGACTGCCCAGGGTGAGTAGTCCTTGGCGCCACGTGGTCACACCCACCCATTCCTACACTCTGTTTACAGACCAGGCACTGTGTACCTGCAGCTCCAAAGTCTCCCACCTATGTTTTCAGAGCCTTTGGCCTTTTCCCCAAGAGAGTCCTTTTGAGTGCAACCCTAGTCCAGAGGTATGACCATGGGGTGGCTGATGGGAAAGGGAGCATAAAGTAGAGATATGTGGCTAAGCTGCTCACACAGAGAAGCATGCCATGCCCACATGAATCTGGGACAGAACTCCAGGTGAAAAGACAGAGCCCGAAGAGAAAGCCAGGGCCCTCCATTTGTACCTTTGCTCCAGGCCCCACAAATGTGAAGAGTGGGTCTGCAGAGAGCATCTGACCACGCATACATTTGGTGCACGTTCTGCTGGCTAGCTGATGGGGAAGGGGTACAATGAGGGCAGACAGTCGAAGTTTCCACTTATAATGCAGAGCTTCTATTTCTATCCTTTCCAATATTCTCATTTGCTTCAATTCATCTGCTTTTGGGGAAGTTTCCTTGCATACATTTCACCAATGGATAGGTATTTGGGAAAAAAAAAAAAAAAAGGAAAAAAAAAATTCCATGTCATCATTAACAACAACACTACAGAGTAAATCTAGTGTGTCTCCCCTGTACCGAGTGAGCCTTTTAAGGGATGGTCCAGCTAAATGCACCCAGGTGCTCTGTTTAAGTGCTAGCTATTCTCCAGAGATTCCTCAGAGTGCTAAAACATAAGCTCTGTTTATATCAGATGTAACACAGTGTGAGTTGTAAGTACAGATTCTGTTTGCCATGGGGAAAAAAATTAAGTAGAAGGAAGACACAGGAGAAAAGCAGGCTTCTGTGGAAATATCATGTACTGGGTTGCTTATGGTATGAACACTGCTTATTTAACCTCATAGAGAAAATTAAGTTAGTATTTGCCTAAGGTTTAGGATTACAAGAACCCACCTATGTTGGTACAGGCCAAACAGGGATTTTTAAATGATACGTTGTATCAGTTAGGATTGCTTTTGGCTCCACATAGGAAACCAGCTATAGTGGCTTAAAAAAAAGTCATGCATTTATGTTATTCTTGTAAGAAGACACTCCACAATGCCACTGAAGACCCGGATTCTTTCTGCCTTTCTACTCTGCCATCCTTGCTTGTGGCTCTCTTCACATGCTTGCAAGATGGCTGCTGCCCTGCTAGGCAGGAAGGGGGAGGGTGAAGAGCAAGAGAAGACAAATCTGTCTTCTTTTAAAATGATTTCTTGAAGGTTCCAGCTAGCTAACTTGGCTCATATCTCATTGGTCACTAATGCTTCAGAGAGTCATGCCCAGCTGCAAGGGAGCCTGAAGTGAGTGTTTCAGCAGGACACACTGCTATCCCAAACAATATTTGGGTTCTTTTACGAAGGAAAATGGGAAAACTGGATATTGGCTAGGTATCAGCCATCTCTGCCACAGATGTGAACAAGCATATAAATTCTTCAAAAAAACCCGCAAAAAACAAAAAACAACCACACACATACAACAAGGCATTTTTTTCTTCCAACATACAATTAAAGTCATCTAGCAAATTAAATAGATTCAAATAGAATAAATACTATTTTCAACCAACACAATTTTCAAGTGCTTTTTATGTGTCCACAAGTTAGTCCATACACTGAGAGATTATCTCTCCAGATTTTTATCTCTGTACAATAGATTTAAACAGCAGTTAGTCAAAAATTCTTTACCACATTATAGAATTTTCTGCCAATGTCAAAATTTGCTTTACCGTTAGATATTAAAAATCATTTTCTAAAAAGCCTATCATTGTGCCTCTTTGTTACAAACCCTAGATTGTTACTAAATCCAGTATGCCTTGTTTTAAAATTTAAACCTGAAAGCTATACTTACAATGTTTCTTCAATGCAAGGTATAATTAAAGGGATGAAAAGATGACCAAAATGATCCTCGACCTCCTCTAGCTTATAAACTAATAGGTTCTAACTTAGTAGGGCTGTGAAAAAGTTAGGGCTATAGCCCGCGGCTGGAGAGATGGATGCCGGGTGAGTGCCACAAGAGAGAAGGCCGAGCCCCGTGGGAGTAGGAGAAATGAAAGAGGAGAGATCTCCTCTGGTTGGGGTCCACAGAATAAACTTCACGGAGAAGCTGGAGATGCAGGCGGGGAGAAACTACACTTCACTTACAGTGCAATGGCATGGAGGAAACGTGGCGTCGCTTCAGGTGACTATGGATAACTTTAAAGCATATTAATAAAAGCCTAGTGCGTGTGGAGTACTTTATACTATGCTGAGAGGTCAAGCCAGAGTTTCCAGGTACATAACACAAATGGAAAGTTGTCTCACTCGCAGACCTAGATGGCCTATGAAATTGACGTACCGCTTCAGAACGACATATTCAAAGTGGCATCATGGAAAACGAGTAAATGCAAAAACCACTTTGAAAACAGAGCGCGGATGACAATGATTAAAAGTGTTATTGCAGGATCTTCGCACTGTTGATCAGTGACTATGAAGCCTTAAAACGCATTCCTAATTGGTCTCCGAAAAACCCGCACTGTCTGAAAAGAGAGATTCTTTGTAATTTTCCCCTTTTTGCTTGTTTCGCTGGTTATTGAGGATACCAGCGGACGTTGTTCTGGCAGCAGAAGTCTGCAGGACTCTGGCGGAGCAAAGAGCCATTGGCATTTCTGAGTAACCTTCCGGTGTTTTCTACTGGGTAAGTACGCAGGAGCAGGGGCTCGCGGAGGCAGAGAAAGGGCAGCTTAGCGGCCTCTGAGGAAACTTTTGATATTATAAATAACTTGAGGGCGGGACGCCAACGCCGGACGGGTAGGCGAACGCTCCGCACGCCGCCTCCACGGTGGCTGCCACCTCCTCGCCAGCCTGCTCCTCCCTCGCGGCGGCGGAGTTCCTCACGGGGCGAGCCGGCCGGCCCAGCCCTCCCAGCCGGGCACCGCCCGCCGCGCCGACGTGGCCGAGCGCACAGGTCGGCAGGGTCAGGTGGTTGGGTGACGCCCCGGGAAGGCGCTCCCCGCCGAGGGCGGGCGGCGCCACCGCGCCCGACGCCTCCGGGGGAGGGGACTTCGCGGGAGTCGCGGGCGGAGGCGAGGAGGAGCGCGGCGCGGCGGCGGAGCGGCGGGCGGGCAGGCGAGTGTGCGATCCAAGCGGGACCGGCAGCCGGTGGCGGAGGCGCAGAGGACGCGAGGCGGCGGGCGGGAGACATGGACCGCGGCGAGCAAGGTGAGGGCGCGGGGACCGCGGGCGCGGCGTCTCCGGGATGGGCGCGGGCGCGGCTCCGGAGGGCGCGCGGCCGGGCGCGGGAGCAGGTGCACGGCGTCCGCGGCTGGCGCCGGAGCGCGAGCCGAGCCTTCTTCAAGTTGCATCTTCCGGATCGGGTTCCGGCATCCTGGCGGGCCGAGCCGCAGGGAGCGGCTCTGGCGGGCAGAGCGGGTGGATGGAGCCGCGAGTGCGCGTGCGCGCGACTGTGTATGGATGCGAGAGGGGGAGAGAGATGCAGACAGAGAGACCGAGAGACAGAGGGGAGAGACCGAGCAGGGGGTGGGGAGGGAGAGAAGGAAAGAAGGTTCTGGGTGGCGGCGAAGGGGCCGGCACCAGGCTCGCGGAGTCGGGGCTGCGGACCGTGATGCGCTTTGGGTAGAAGGCGGTGAGACGGGAATACTGTGCAGCTAGCTCTTGTAACTGGTGGAAACTGAGGAACTGACGACAGTGGGTCGTTTCGCCGCTCAGGATGGGAACATGATCCCCCCCCACACACCATATTGAGACTTTCAGCCCTCGTCTAGGTAACATGGTTAGGATCTTTGGTGGCGTCTGAGCCTATGGCGATGGTTTTGGACGTATACGTGTAATATGAGAGGTGTTCCTAAATTATGTCCTGGTGGTTATGGGTTTATTTTGGGGGAAGGGAGCTTTTCATGATAAGGGGCGTCTTTTACTCATCAAGGTGAAACCCATAGTCTCATTATTACTGCCTTGGATGCAGTTGTTTCTGAGAACAGGATCTCAAGTGAAATTGTCTCCACTAGAATTATTGTATAAGAGAGATGTAAACAGGAGGGCATGGCTTAAAGGTTTAAATATTAAATATTTAAATGTTGCTTCATCGTTGTGATAATAACCCAGTAACTGTAATACAGATGCGTGGCACGCTTTTCATTTTTTTTTTTTAAGATTTTTATTTATTTCGGGGGGTGGGGGTGGGGCACGCCTAAGAGCGAGGGTGGGGGAGGGGCGGGGGAGCAGGAGAAGCAGACTCCTGCTGAGCAGGGTGACCTGTGCTGGACCGGGCTCCCCGGCTACATCCCAGGACCCTGGGATCATGACCTGAGCCAAAGGCTGACGCTTAATGTACTGAGCCATCCAGGCGCCCCACGTGACACGCTTTTTGAAAGGTACATAAATGGTTTAAAAAGAAAAAAGGTAATAATATTAAGGTAAATTTTAAGAAGTGGGCATAGGAATTGCTCATATTTTGAGTTCAAACGCAACAGTTTTCATTTTTGCTTATTACTCTTTGCATTTATCTTTATGCATACTTTTTATGTAAATGAAGCCATATTCCATATATATTATTTTCTATTTTACTTTTGGTAAGGTGTAGGGATCTTTGGAACCTTCCAGCCCATTCTTTCCCCCCACCCCTCAGATTGATCTTACACTTAACATAGGAGTGCCTATATTGTAAACATTATATACAATATGTAATTTATATACGTATATATATATGATAAGTAATACATTATATATATTTTTTATATGCACCCATGTTGTTTAGATTTAAGCTTATTGAGGTTAGAGACATGTACTTCATCTTTGTCCATGGTAGGGTAACATGGTGATTTGAACATGGTAGATATTTAAGTGTTTGAGGCAGAAAGCTCATCTCAGATCTTAAATATATTGTTAGGAGAAGGCCTAGGAGCCTCTATGTAAGCCAGTACTATTCTCTCTGTCTTTTAATGAGGGTGTCCGGGATGACAAACATGTGAACATGCATATTTGTATCTGCCTTACATTGTCATATTGAACATAATGGTGTTTTTAGAGTCGCTGTGTTTGGTACTTGTCAAACTAGATTAAGTAGCTGTTTGAGTAAGTGAATGGAGTGACTAATTTTATTAGATTTGGCGTTCTAGTTTGGCTGGTGAGAATCACAGTCATTAGTCCCTCTGTGCTGATGGCACCTTATGTGGTTTTTGTAGGACTAGTTTTTCATGTGTATGTTTAAGACATATTTTATAAGTTCTTCGGCTTATAAGAGGAGCCTTTCTCTTTCTGACTTTCAGATGTTTTCCTCAGGTAGTCATGTTAGTTCTTGTTTTTAATTGTCATTCCTCGAGGGCAAGGGAAATCCATCCTCTTAAAGTGGGGAGTCTGAGAACTCAGCTCAGAATGAAAGATGAGTCACCTGCTTTGGGAAGGTCCTCCGGCTCCCTCAGCTTTGCTATGTTGCAACCATGTGGCCTTCCCTTATACTTCTGGTTCCATGTGCCTGTCTCTTTTGCATTTTCACCTTTTTATTCCCATGGCACAAAGTAGGTGCTCAGAAATGTTTGTGGAGGGGCACTTGGGTGGCTCAGTTATTAAGCATCTGCCTTCTGCTCAGATCATGATCCCAGTGTCCTGGGATAGAGACCCAAGTCGGGCTCCCTGCCCAGTGGGGAGCCTGCTTCTCCCTCTTCCCCCTCATTCATGCCCTCTCTGTCAAATAAATAAAATCTTAAAAAAAAAAAAAAAAAAGAAGAAATGTTTGTGGACTGCCAGAGATGGAAAGGAAAAGTGACCAAGAGCACCTTCCGGCTGTTGGAACCTCTCATGTCCTCCCTTGGTTCCCACTTACTCCTGCTCTTTTTTCCCTCTCAGTATTTTAAAGGAGCAGAACTCTGTGGTTAGGCAGAGAAAGTTGTTAATAAGGCTGTGCTGGACTTGGAGGGTAAGTTTATAGGTGAGGTCTTTGAACAAGCAGAGTGGATGGCTCAGTCTTCATTGAATCCATAGTGAAACTTCTGGCTTAAAGGAAGAGGAATTTGGGATTGTAAACCTGCGTGTCCATTATCAAACAATGCTGGCTGAAAGAAGGTTTATGAAACTCTTTGATTCTCTCTTGAATTGTGATTTTTTTTAAAGTACTTAAAGCCACATAGGAACATGTTAAGATTTCTTTAACTTTTTAGTATGCATGGAGTTGCATTTGTCTGTCCCCTAAAAAAAAACAAAACAAAAACCAACAAAGCCATACAATTCTGTAAAATAAAAATAAAAATAAAAATAATATGTAAAATAAAAAAAATGTAAAATAAAATACCCGACCTCTTGTCTTAATTGCACTTTTTTAATTGAAAATATCTCCATCCATATGTGAAGTCGTCAAAGTCTTTCCTTTGCTCCCTTTTTTATTTAACAGAGCTATAAAGTTTGAGAACGGTTTTCCTTGTGTTTTATATGATGTGTTCTAATGCTCTTCAGTATCTGGCTGGGATTCTTCTGTTTTCCCCACCTTCTCCTGATCCAGACTTTGTACACGATATTCTGCTTATATTGAGAGCTTAGTCCACAGTAATTGATTTGAAACCTGCCTTAAAAAAATAAAGATAAATAAATAAAAACACACCATAATCTGCATTATGCCTCTTAAGAGTTTCTACCCAGAAACTAAGCATAACACATTGAATGTGTGTGGTGCTTCCTACTTTGAAAGTGTAGTGTAGCGTGCTAACTAGAGCATACATTGTGTAAAAAAACAAAAAACAACAAAAAAACAACAACAACCCTGGCTTCCTTTTATGGTGCTGAATAAATATTTACACTTCAGTTGTGTCTTGTGTTAGTAATAACCTGTAGTTTAGCACTATATTGAAGTGGTGATCACCCTACCCGTTAATGCATTTTATCTGTGTTTGAATTCACACAGATCTCTCTCTCACACGCACACACATGCACACACCCACACACACACCCACACACACACCCACACACCCCCCCCCAAACCTTTTATTTTTCAGGGAGAGAGGGAAGGCTACTGCAGCCAAAAACCTGGGAGAGGAGAAGGCTGCAGGAAAAGTAACACAATGGTATGTCACTGTAATTTTAGCACTGTAGTTACACCTTCAAAATAATAGAACTGTGAGATGTCACTTACTTTAAAGTAAAACAAATGTAGAGATGAATGGATAACAGTATGGAGGGTCTGCTTGCAGATCTCAACGTTTGACCCACCCCAGTTCTGGGTTTCTTTGGTCAAGTCTCGCTTTCCACATGGTACTAATGTGTTTGTTGTTGGAATTCACTTCCTGCATTTATTTTTATGCAGCAGCCTGCCTGGTCTCTAGGGCCCAAGCTGAGTGGTAGGAGGGGTTGTGATCTTTAGCAGGATCTCAAAACAGAATAATCTATGCACACAATAAGAGCAAATGTACTCATAATTCGAAACCAGAAAGAACAGCAAAATCCCCTGAATTTGTGTGTTTCTAATCCTTTTGTTGTAGGCTAAGATTATGTTATTTTCCTTTGGGGTTCATTATTTCTGTTTTAATTGTTGACTGTTGTAAAGTCTCTCTTCTGAGACTCTCCCAAATTTTATTTGCATTTGGTACAGAAACCATAATCTTAGCCATGTATTTTTATTAGAAAAATATCCAGGGGATCAAATGATTTAATGTTTAGTTGAAGTTAAAAAAATGTTTAAATTAAAAATACTTTTTGGAAGCTGTGACTCTTTCATTTTAGAGAAATCGGAAAACAGAGAAAAAGAAAAAGTCACCTGTAATCCTACTGTGAAAAATCATTATTAACTGCTTTATACCCATCCATACATCTATGTGTACTTTTTTCTTTTCTTTTCTTTTTTTTAGATTTTATTTAGGGGCGCCTGGGTGGCTCAGTCGTTGGGTGTCTGCCTTTGGCCGGGGTTGTGATCCTCATGTCTCGGTATTGAGCCCCACATAGGGCTCCCTGCTCAGCAGGAAGTCTGCTTCTCCCTCTTCCAGTATCCCTGTTTGTATTAACGCTCTTACTCTCTCTCTCTTTGTGTCAAATAAATAAAATCTTAAAAAAAAAAAAAAAGATTTTATTTATTTATTTGACAGAGAGGGCCTGCAAGAAAGGGGGAACACAAGCAGGGGAGTGGGAGAGGGAGAAGCAGTCTTCCTGCTGAGCAAGGAGCCCTATGTGGGGCTCGATCCCTGCACTCTGGGATCATGACCTGAGCCAAAGGTAGATGC